GATTTTGCTGGGCCTTTTATGATAAAGGCATCCATGCTAAGGTCTCCTACCCTCATGAAAGGCTATGTGGCTGTTTTTGTCTGTTTCACGACAAAAGCAGTACACCTTGAGCTATGTACGAATCTGACGACGGAGGCTTTTCTTGCGGCTTTTGCTCGTTTCGTCGGACGACGAGGCTTTCCGTCAAAAATCATTAGCGATAATGGTAAAACATTTATCGGGGCTCAAAGAGCTACCGAAAAACAGTTTGTGGACTTCACAAAACAAGTCTCAACGGACATTGTCCAAAAATACGCACCCCAAGGTATCAATTGGCAGTTTATCCCTCCAAGCGCCCCTCATATGGGCGGCTTATGGGAGTCAGCTGTAAAAAGCTTCAAATCTCATTTTAAAAAGATAGCTGGCAACCATAAATTCAATTATGAAGAGTTCACGACACTCTTAACAAGAATTGAAGCCGTTCACGGCCTCTCGCTGCACTCTCGCAAGATCCCTCAGACTTTACTGCCCTCACGCCAGGGCATTTTCTTAAAGGAGCGCCCATTCTGGCCACACCTGAGACAGGCGTGGAGTCGCTTTCCTTATTAAACCGTTGGGAAAGAATTAAAATTCTCCATCATGACTTCAGTCGCCGATGGAAAGATGATTATYTAAAGGACCTCCACAGAAGGTACCGATGGAAAATCACAGAAAATGTGCCTAAGCTCAATGACGATTTTCTCCCCCCTACCGAATGGCGGCTTGGCCGCATAGRGAAGCTCTACTACGGCTCCGACGGTCATATTCGCGTAGTCGATCTCCGTACCCAATCGGGAATGCTAACTAGACCGCTCGTTAAATTATGCTTTTTGCCAACCGCGGATAAAACYGAAAAGTAACCGAAAATAACGTAGCCATAATTAATAAACCAAGAAACGAAAAATAAATAATGATACAAAAACCGAGAAAAGGGAGTCGATCCACATGACGACTCACTCGTGCCACATTTCGTGGCACCAATGCCCATATGAATATACTCGCATATATGTATGTATATGATATTAATACAAGTAAAATCTTTTAAGAGATAAAATGGATGCCGAGATGCCAACTGCGCCCACGCCCGCAATACGTTCGGCCGTCACTGTTCCGCGCTCGAAGACTACACCAGTCGCAGCGCCGCGAACCACCATAGCCACCGCAGCTCCCCGAGCAGTTTCAACGGCGCCACATAACGACACGCGATCAATGGCTCCGGATCCACCACTACTCGAATGCGCCCTATGTCGCCGTCGTCATCGGTTGCCTCGCTGTGGCATCTTCAAGGGGATGACCCCTCAGCAACGCCAGCAGGTCGCTCAGGCACATGGACATTGTTTAAATTGTCTGGCGCCCACCCATCGTACGCCAGAGTGCACAACGAGCTATCAGTGCCAAATATGCATGCGGCACCTCCATACCCTACTACACCGCACCGCCGTACCCGACGCCGGGCGTCGTGATGTGCCTCGCAGCCGTAATGTCATCCAAAGACTCCCGCGATCGCAACCGCGCAGACCGGCATATCATACAGAGGACTCACGTTTCTGGCGTCACCTCACTCCCACGCCGAACCGGAGACGCCAGCACAGGTCACACTCGAGCCGCCCGACAGGCCTCAGCAACGTGATAGCCACGTTGCAACGGCTTCAGAGGCTACTAGGCTAGATACTCGCCTATGGGGGCCAGGATGTACAAATGACCATCCTCCCCCGACCTCCACACACACACACCAAATTATCACGCCATATCGACTCAAACTTACATCACTAACACGCCACATTCACCACATTATGCTTACAACCCACATTCTACACTACTCACGAGARCAGCACACACCGACACCTACACACACGTACACCAACCACAGCAGTCACACCATCCTATTCAGCCCCAACGGGGATAAAGAAGGACCGATTACCAGCCTCAGGCTCAGTTCGTTCTACGACACTATCGTCGATCGGTCATAAGTTTGCGAATCCAGTTTTTTATCCGCCGTCATCCTCTTGCGAAACCAACCGCGTTATTAAAGAGAATCTCACCTCTAAAACCGTGTATTTCCGAATATTTTCAATTCTTTTTAAATAAACCCTCTGTTGGTACACCCATCCACAACGAACTTTAAACCTTTTTTTCTTTCGGTATTTATTGCTTTTTGGTGAAGTGGACAAAAAGGAACTAAAAAACTATTATAACAACAACAACTGTTCAAAAATTATATTCACAATCCAACAATATTACTTTTAATGCCACTCTAACTTTAGAAGAATTAAAATTAACGTCGACACACAATCTAAAAGAAATAGAAGAAATAAAATACAAATATAAAGTTGTAACGTATAGTGTACCAACAGTGGTAATATTAATAGTAATACTCTTTGCAATAATATTAATGTGCAATCTTTTAAAAGAAAGAAAGAAAGAATTCAGGAGAATCCTTCGTCTAGGGGTGGAGGAGTTACGTACATAGTTCCACAAACATAAGAAAATACTTAAATCAACCCAACAACATTACTGTGTAAAACATTTACTTATTTGTTGTTTTGATTTAAATTGACACTCACATAAATATGTATAACGAAAATGCAAGTGTCGTTGCTTCATAAAAATTAACCAACGATACTTGCAATGTAAACAACATTGTTGCTCAAATTTCATGTCACTGAACTTAAATTTATGAAAAATACATGAAAGCAAAATTAATACTTTTATAAGCAAAAGTCAAAGTAATGTCCACTTTTGTAGGAATATTAAAAAAGTATTTAAGCCACATAAATGTCTATGCACCGAATTTAGTACTTGGAAAATTATTAAAAGATTACATATATAATTTTGTTTACATTTGCTTATTTTAATCAATATTGAAGGTTTCATTTTAAGAACGAAATTATTGTAAAATTGGTCTTAAGACCAACTTGAAAGAATAAAGACATACAATTTAATTTTTAAAAATATAAAAAAACCTATGATTTCTCCTTTCATAAAACATACAATTCGCGTGCTTCATAGCTACCTGTACAGATTCCCTCACAACACTAGCCGGAATTGCTCCACGTGTGCAGAGTACATTAAAGACTCTGTGCATTTTTTCTTTTATTGCCTTCGGTTTTTAAGTACAAGGTGCTTTTATATTTAGTTTTATTTTAGTACTTAAAACTACATTCGGCGTTAGATTTACTGTCGAAAATTATGAATTACTAGTAGTGCATTAGGAGTGTAAAAACTAAATGTAAACTTAAATTAAAAAAAAAAGAATTGTTATTTTTCATTAATCAATTTTTGGGCAGTGACAAACATCATAGAAATTGGTGTACAAATGAGGTGAAATCTTTTAACACAGGAATCAACAATAACAATCTATATGTTACAGTAAATTTGTAGTTACAACCTTTACATACTCTCGCAACATGGTGAACATAGTTATAATTGCATATTGTCTCTTTACAGAAATACCCGAAAACGGCGCCGATTTCGCCCACTTCTCTGCAGTCCACCAAACGTGCTTGCTTGTGAATGCGGAAATTTCAAACAAAAGTTTATTATTTAAGTATGTGCAACATCGCTGGGAGGCCGAGTAAGTGTTGAATGATAAATAAATACATTTTTGAAGTTTACACAGTTTGATACTTAAAAAATCAGACTGCAATGTAACATTTTTACCGATCGRGAACGTTTTAAAACACTTATAACTTTCTACTCCGAACAAATGAAACTTCTTTTTAACTAAAAAAATGTATAACATAAAAATATGTTTCTAATTCTTCAACACAACTTTCAACGGTCCTACAACTTGTAACCTGTTTTTATGGTTTAACTGTATCTTTCTTAATCAGCCATTGGTGAAACTGTTGTCGCTTTACAATATTACTTATGTACGTTATGCAGTGTGGCGCTACTCGTAGCCTACAGTTAACAGATTGGATCGGACTTTGGCATTGTCTCACAAACTTACCGATCAAAATCTAGTGGAGGCGTAAAAACTTTTTTATTTGTGAGATGTACGACTATCGCATTATAGCCTAACCAAAGTAATTTTGCAACATTTTTCTATAGAGTTGTATAGTTTTGTTCACCTAATGTTGTACATATGTTTGTTATATCTAAAACTAATCAAAATAGATATATAGTTATATTTATACATCTATATACATATATAAATGTTTATATATATATATACTCGTATATATATATGTGGCAACACCACAAGCTTATAAAATTTATATTTCAAAAATGCAACCATGCGCATTCTATTCGCTTTTAACTTGTATTCGCTTTAGGTTAGTAAAAGAAGATAAAAATGCCTATCGTCCCTTTTGAATTGGGATCCTGAAGAGCAAACACGTGTTTTATTTCTCCCAATCTCTATATATACTATACTTTAGAGGAGCTGGATTTTTGAGGGAGCTGGTAATAAAATTGAGTAACGGGCGTGGCGCCGCTCACCTTTAGTTGAAATCATGTACCTCATGTCAGGTTGCTAAAATGTGCGAAATCGCACAAAAACGACTCCTACTTCCATAGATATACATAAATAGTATAATAAATTTTCTATTTTACAGAATATAAATTAAGCACCAACGAAGTGATGGGAATTAAAAATTGTGCAAATAGTGACCATGAGAAAATCAAACCATAGCATTTGAAGTCATCAGTGACCTATAGCTGACCGAAAATATAAAATGCTTATTATATTATTGAAATAGAGTAAAACTCATTTTCTGGATAAAATCTGGTCAATACTTGAATAGCTCGCATGTACCTATTATAAAGATTTTCGAAATTCCGGTCGATTTTATACCAAACGACCCGATATGTACTTCACTACGTATAAAGTGAAATAATAATTTTTTTTCTTAACATCAAATCCTTTTTGGACAAACCAAAAAATTAGGTGACATTTGAATTAAAATTGCGCTCATCGAAGGATTTGGAGAATTATTTTTTTGATAGGTACTGTCAGTCACATTTACGTCAAATTTCATGTCAAAATATTCGTTACTGTTTGAGATACGTGTCGTTTTGTGARCTACTAAAAGTGAGTTTTTCGTTTTTTGCGATGTCGAAATTTTTTTTTCAGCAAAAAATTTGCATTAAATTTTGCTTACGGAATTAATTTTCTGCTGCGGATGCGTTGAGAATGKTGCAGAAAGCCTTTGGTGATGAGGCTATGTCTAAAAAAAATGTTTACAAGTGGTATAGTGAGTTCAAAGCCGGCCGTGAACGTGTCGAAGACGAAGCTCACGTTGAACAAATCAAAGATTTGGTGTTGAAAAACAGTTGACAAACAATTAGAGACCTTGCTGATGAAGCTGGCATATCGAAAGGCCAGGCCAATACTAGGGTGATTCCGGACTTTTTTCGATTCGGGATTTCTAATAGTGCGGAAAAGTTGCCTTAGTACTTCCTGATTCCAATGCAACTTTTTGTTTTGAGATCGGTTGCATCTTCAACCCCAACTCCGGTTTGAAATTTCGGAAATTGGCCTAAAATCGTGAAATTGTCTACATAGCGCCTGAAATACGCATTTCATGGCAAAATGTATAAAACAACATTTATTTGTCACGTCATTTGCTACCGAAATGGTACATGTGATCATGGCCATAGGACGAATCGTTTCCGAGATACGAGCGAAAATGCGGCGCGCCACAGCGCAAGGTGAAAATCGGCTTGCGGCCACACTTCTTGACGTTGATTACGCCGAGTGCTATCACTCACAKCCATTCACCTACGCCAAAAGACACGTTCGGATAGGTCTCCACACAAATATTTTTTTATCGAGTTCTTTTACTCTTGTCGGTGATTTCGCCGATTTCTATCACTTACATTCATTACCCTGCGAAATACGACACGTTCGGACTGGTCTCCACATAAATATTTTTTCATCGAGTGCCTTCACTCTTGTCGTTGATTTCGCCGAGTGCTATCACTTGTATTCTCTCAACAGAACACAGAACTCAAAATGTCTGTATCTAAATTTAAAGTTAGACAAAAATGTCTTGTGTGGCATATATCCGTACAATCTCTCTGAGTCCCAGTTACCTACTTACCAGGATGTTCTTTTGTGTTATCAGTTTGAAAGATTTCGTATAGGGCGACTCCGATTCGACAACTATGAACCTAGGAGTAAGAGGTTACAGAAATTGTTGCAAAAAAGAATGAAAATACTTTCAAAAAGTCATCTATTCTGATAGCTTCACACACCAGAGTTTTACAAATGCTCACCACATACCAT